GAACCGAAACTTCTTTTTGAAGTAAAACGAGGTATCTGATGGGATTTATATAATATGTAATTAACAATAACATTAAATTAATATTAAAACTATGCTATCCAAAACGAACCATAGGGGTAAATATTCCATTTCAATATTCATTTTGAGATTTTGAGATAGATATGTCCAATATATATAAGGTTGTTCGGAAAGTCATTTTGTTTTTTCCCGTCAGAGGAATTAATTACGTTTTTTCGAAACCAACTTCACACTTAAGCCGCATAACCATTATATGTCTTGAGAGCTGATATTGCAAGGCTTGTGTGTGAAAAAGTTCTATTAATTGTACGCAGTAGTTTTTGGTTGGTGCCCTTTTAAATATGGAGAGCAATAAGCAGCATTTTCGTCATATTTTACTTTTTTACTTCAGAAAAGGTAAAAATGCTGTCCAAGCGAGAAAAAAATTGACGGATGTGTATGGAGAAGGCGTGTTAATAGTACGCCAGTGCCAGAACTAGTTTGCAAAATTTCGATCCGGCAATTTTGATGTCGAAGATGCACCACGGTCTGGAAGGCCGGTCGAAGCTGACAAAGATGCGATAAAGGCATTAGTTGATGCAAATCGGCGAATAACCACACGAGAGATCGGTGAGAGATTAAATTTGTCGAATTCGACTGTTTATGGCCATTTGAAAGGCAAGGGCTTAACCTCGAAGCTCGATGTGTGGGTGCCCCATGTCCTTACGGAGCGAAATTTGTGTCGTCGCGTTGACGTGTGTGATTCGCTCCTCAAACGTCAAGAAAATGATCCATTTTTGAAGCGGATTATTACTGGGGACGAAAAATGGGTTGTATACAACAATGTTAAACGCAAGAGGTTATGGAGCAGAAAAGATGAACCGGCTCAAAGCGTGTCAAAAGCCAACATTCACCAAAAAAAGGTGATGCTCTCCGTTTTGTGGGATGTCGAAGGAATCGTTTTTTTTGAGCTTTTGCTGGACAATACAACGATTAATTCAGAAGTCTATTGTCATCAACTGGATAAATTGAATGATTCACTTAAAGAGAAGAGGCCCGAATTAATCAACAGGAAGGGTGTAGTGTTCCACCAGGATAATGCGAGACCTTACACAAGTTTGGTCACTCGCCAAAAACTTTTACAGCTTGAATGGGACGTACGGAAACATCCACCATATTCTCCAGATCTGGCGCCTTCCGACTACTATTTGTTCCGGTCCCTGCAAAATTTTTTGGATGGCAAAACCTTTACCTCAAATGAAGATGTCAAAAACCACCTGAACCAGTTTTTTGCCAGCAAGGACCAAAACTTTTATGAGAGGGGAATTATGTTACTGCCAGAAAGATGGCAAAAGGTGTTGGACCAGAATGGCCAATATATAATTTAATAAAATATTTATTCATTATACGAAAACTGTCTTTCATGTTCTCCAAAAAAAAACGAAATGACTTTCCGAACAACCCAATATTTTAGGAGAAGATCCTCATTTCAACCTGTAGACACCTGATTTTGGAGATCTTGGACATTTCGCTTAATTGTTTTGTGTTGTAAATTCTGATAGCTATTTTTTCACTGGGTTCTCCTCTGTATGTAATTATTCGTGTTCTGTATTAGGTTTCGGATAAATAGAGTTTACTGTTGTCTGGATTTGCAGCCATTTTGTGTGTATAAGGGTGATTTGAGCTGTTATGTATGACTGTGTCCTTGTGTGAATGTTAAATCTAAAAATCTAATTTGTTTTGTGTCATCGTAATAGTCATCCTGTTCAATCTCGATAGTGAATTTTTTACGATTATAGCATAGACATCAACCACCATAGAAAACTTATACTTAAAAAATGTTCTAGTATGATATTTTCCCATAATCAAACCTTCCTTAGAGATGTATGTCTGTCCATTAAATTCAAAATAATTTTGGTCTAAAGATACTGTTACAACGACATGAATTAAGGTTTTATTGTCATTTTTCAGTATATATACTAGCACGTAGTTTGTAAATATTACATTTCATAAAGACAAGGTGTTGTCGATACAAATGTCGTGAAAATCTGAACTCTTAGTTCTTATTCATTTTGTTAAATGGATTTTCATGAAGTAAAGCCACCCCAGTTCAATTTTTACAAAATGGGAGAGTAACTATTTTTTACCGCCCCTTAGATGACTGCAGGCGATTCGTCAGCTCGCAGGTTAAAAATTTAACACGCTCAGCGACTACGCCGACGATTTATCTGATAATTTGTTCGGTCATGCGTGATAATGTTTACTTTCTCGACGAACACGCTAGCAGATATATCGCCCACGGTAACAGATCAGATAATTTTCAGCCGCGACTCACGGGGTTAGGCAAATATATTAGGCCTCCGTTGCTGGTTGAAAATGGTTCGATTCGAGTCGGAAATCGAACGGTCGAATTTGTTGACGTAGCAGCATGAGATTCGTTAACGGCGTAAACTGATTCGTTATTCGGCGGTAAACATGGAAAGCCACCATTAAAAATGAACCTTATGGAAAGTTCCGACAACGATTTTAGCGGCAATTTCACCAATTTTTTGCCAAGCAGATTTCGGGAATAACTTAAACCGTCTTATATAGTAAGGTGCCACACAGACAGGCAAGGCCAACATAAAAAATTAAGAGGTCCAGTGGCTCAGGCTCTGATAATTTGAGGGCTCTATAAACAAGAGAGGTGATAACCGATGATTTTTGGGCCGGATAATGATGTGTATGAATGCGTAGGTTTTCTGCAAACACAATAACCCAATGTTAGGTTTAAATTTCTAAGAAAATCTAGTGGGGATTTTTGACCATGAGGGCAAATAACAAAAGTATCATCCACCTAGCGTTTCTATAATTTTGGTTTTAGATAAGAAAGCTGTCGAGGGCTTTGTTCTCAAATATATTCGCAATGGCTGGTGATAATGGAGAACCCATCTCGACGCACACAGGCCAGAAGTCAGAAACTCCAACTTAAAAATCTTGAGCTAAATCCGTTACATTTCAGTGATCTAGTTACCTGGCTATTATAAATAAACAAGCTTTTGTTTTGATTCGCGTTGCTAAGCGCCATCTAGTTGAAAGTTTATTAATTTGTATTTATTTAATCAGAGTGCATCAGCGTGTATTTAACCATTTTTTCGAAAGTTGGTGATTGAAAAATAATAAAATTATAGTATGGAGCCTATTGCTAGTGGTAAATATTATTATCTATGCAATTATTATCATCTATGAATTGTTTTAATGTCACAATGGCGTCCCTTCTTAAAATACATAAATGTTTCGTTTTCTTTGGACAAAAAGTACATTTGCCCGCGTTTCCCCATCTTCAAATTAGCGTTGAACTCTTATTGAAAAAGACATATTTTCTTATTTATGCAATAATTTGCGATCTTAACGGGTATCTATGCTGTCAGTGCTGGTATATATTTTTAATTTTGATAAAATTTACTATTGTAATATTGCCACATTTACAGCTTTTTGAGAAGAAATATTTATATCCTAGACTATTAAGTGTTTTTGACCAATGGACGACATATAGCATACATGACAGTCTAAAACCTGTGTTTGCCCTGTGTCATTTTAAAAATTTGTGACACAGAAAGTTATTAGGTATCTAATCAGATTTTTTTTATAATAGACCAGGAATTATGTTACTGTACAATAGTCATAAAAAGTTCCGCTTGTTTATTGCCCTACATAATAAGATTATACTTGCGAAATTCTTAGTACTCAAAGTACTCAGATATCAATATCCTATCTTCGTTTTTACCCCCTTTCTCTAGAATATTGATGATTATCTTTTTGTAATATCGTTTTTGTAATTACATATACATTATCATAATTCAAGGTTAAAATTAGAACGTTTTATGTTTTTCTTCAATAATACACATTGTTGGTGTTGTTAAAATAAGTTTTAATAACTGTCACTGAAAAATAAATGAATTACGTAAAAATGTGAACAAGTAAGAAACTAACTTAAAAATGTTCTAACGTCATTCTAAAAAAAAATATTAATCAGTATTTAATTTAGGTACGACTTCTCGACCACACTGTATATTTTTACGTGTAACGGAATAATAGTGTAAAGTACTGTATTATCATTAAAATTTATACTTTTCTTAAATAAATTGAATATTCATCATTTTTAGATATTTTTTAAGATAAATAATATTGGCCAGCATTTTGATGAAATTCGCCTGTGTGCGACGTTTCCGATTCCATGAATTTAATATATTTGAAATGAAGTTGAGAGTTGAGAGTTCAATGCAGGGTTGTAATATAGACTCTAGATATTTTGCTAGAGAATATTTTGGAGAACCGCTGATGCGAACAATAGATTGCTGGGGTAATCCTGGTTTGTGAATCTTAGGAATATTCAGTTGTGTTTATGACCACCGTAGCATTTCCTTTACCTGCTTTTAGGATGACGATCTTAGGGTTTAGATTTTTGAGATTTTAGAGCTATGCGTTCGAGCTTTGGAACGTTAGATTTAGGAGGTTTGTTTAGGATTTGAAATTATTTCCTCTTTTGGAGGTAATACGTGTGGACGAAGTTGGAACCTTTTGCAAAAGCTAATTTTTCAGTCTCAAAATGTTGGTGTATTAATGCATTTACCACAGTGTTTGGTTGTTGGGAATAGTTTGATGGTTTCGCTAGTGTTGGCGTTAGTTTTTTTAAATTTTCCGATGAGTCGTGTTCGAAAGGGTATCGAACTTGGACAAGACGGAAGCAATTTCAAGATGTGGAGGCAGAAGAGTCCTATTGTTTTGGTCTATTTCTTTACGCATATAAACCAGATTTGCGAAGAATTTTATAACGTTCTCTTTGAGCCCCGCCCCCGAAAGCAATATATAGAGTAGAATCCAGAAGATTTGTAATCTGTAAGCTTGATTTTCAGAGAGAGCCTTTAGGGCGACTTTTCAGAGCTAGCTTCTAGAGGGCGCTTTTCGTAACGAATTTTGAAGGGTGTTTTCATAACTTGCTTTTAGAGAGGGTGACCACCTACCTAATCGACACAAGTATCATGGCGAAAATGAGGTACTTTCCCAGCAGCGGTACGACGAGTGAAGTCGGCGGTATAATCTCCACCACGAGCAGGAAAAACACGTGCAGACTGATGAGGATGGAAATGGACAGCGTCACCTGTAAAAAAACGGAGTTTTAAGCGTTTTCCATTAGCAAAGTTTCCCTTCGCCGAGGCGGGGAAACGCGGGATGTGACGTTTCGTTTCGCACTAACCCGACAACGACACTAAATAAAACTCGAAACGCGCCCCCCGCGCCCCAGGGGGGAGAGAGTCGAGTCCGTTCATTATTCTTCGGCGAGTGTCGCCTTTCATTTGCTTCTCGACTGCCATTTTCCCGCTTTTCAAACGCACTTTCGCGGAAATTGAATCAATTTAGCCGGAGCGTAGGGGGTTGCGCTCAAGGTATCTCGCCCTTCGAGCCGGCGCGTCATTTATAATTTAAAAAACGGGGAATATCGCCGGGACAAATTTCGACTGATCCGAATTTTCTCGGAAGCGTCTACAATGAACCAATTAAGCTTTCTACGTCACGCCATTCATCGTAGTCGGCGAAGCGACCGACTTGCGAACAAAGCTTCGTTTTAGAAAAGGTATGTCGTTAATTTTAAAAGAAATCAGCCGTTAATATGTTCCGAAAATAGCTGTTTCAGACAACACGATACACTACATAACACGCATCATATTTATCGAGAAGAACGCAACATGTGGAGTGCTATTTTCGCAGCTAAAAGTATTTCAATAAAACTTCCGGAGTTCTATCAAATTTTTAAATCATTTTATTGACGATGTCGCAATGTCTTGCTTTTAATATATTATCTTTCTCTTTAAAGCGCACTGTGGTGTTATAGGAGTAAGGAGCTTAAGGATGGTGCGATGCTGGTCACGGTTTAGGACATTTGGATATTGTGAAAAGATCAAACTCTTGACTGGAACCTTCGGCACTGCACTAACCCACAATAACGCCTTTTAACACAAACCAACACTCAATTTTAAATCCCATTTAGCCCATTATACGCGTTGATTGGTTGCGTGAACAGTGCGTAATCCCCTCTCCCACTTCCCGATATGTATATATTTATGGAGAGCATTTGTTATTAAATTTAGTTTTAATCTTCTCCTGAAGATGCCAATTTGGTTGGCGAAACGCGTAAAATTGAGTTTCGGTTTGTGGTAAAACGCGTTATTGTGTGATTGTGAAAAGAAGTAAAAAAATTTTAGAATTTGTAATTGAAATCATACACATTTCTAAAATAAATTTCGTTTAAGTGCGACAGTATATATAAATGTCAGCTTATACACGGGTGTGTTTAATACAAACAAAAATAGCCATAGTAATAAAAAAATAACGTGGTATAAAACTGTCAACAGTAATGTCATCATGTTTTTAAATGCCACATAGTGTAAAATTATACTAAAAAGCTCTCTACCAAAGATCCTTTTCAAAAAGGAAATCAAATAATGGGTGTTTTTTTTTGATGTATAGAACTTTAAGTTGGCATTACTGATCAAGATGGCGACCGATTTAATAGCTAATATAGAATAATAATAGAATAGATTCACGCCTGAACAACCCTTGCAAATGGGCCCAAAACGAGATTGCCGTTGTTCCCGATTTTCATAAGCGAATTTTGTTTAGCGATGAAGCGCACTTCTGGTTGAATGGCTACGTCAACAAACAAAACTGCCGCATTCGGAGCGAAGCTAATTCTCAAGTATATGTCGAAACACCGTCACATCCAGAAAAACTGACTGTTTGGTGCGCTTTATGGGTTGGTGGAATCATTGGTCCGTACTTCTTCAAAAACGATGATGGCCAGAACGTTACCGTCAATGGTGATCGGTATAGAGCTGTGATTACTAACTCTTTCATTCCTGAATTGAATAACCATGATGTCCAGGAGATGTGGTTTCAACAAGACGGCGCAACATGTCACACAGCTCGTGCCACAATCAATTTATTGAAAGACACCTAATTTCACGTTTTGGACCTGTGAATTGGCCTTCAAGATCTTATGATTTAACACTGCTAGACTACTTTCTGTGTGGCTATGTAAAGTCATTGGTCTATGCGGATAAGCCACAAACGCTTGACCATTTGGAGGACAACATTCGCCGTGTTATTGCCGATATACGGCCACAAATGTTGGAAAAATTCATCGGCCAGCAGTGGCGGTCATATGCCAGAAATCATATTTAAATTGTAATGCCACAAGATTATCTTTCGGATAAATAACATTCATGTCAATCGAATAATCCGTCGTTGTTTACATAACAAAGATTTTCAATTGAATAAATCGATAGATATATTTAGACTTGAAATGTCACTTTTCACATGACATTAAACATATGTCAGTCTTAGATATAGGATATTATATGCAGTCAACGGTTAAAATATTGAACAAATTCATTTAAAAATCAGATCCAGGCCCATCGTAATGTTTCCTTATGCATTTGTTCCAGTAAATAGAAAACATAGAAAAGCGTTTTTTTATCCTTTTTCCAATTCGGCGCAAAATTTCGTAATTAATGTAGCATGTTCTATACATATTTCTTACCTTTTATGCACGAAAGAATAAAAAACAAATTTAATTTTAAAATGAACAGGTAAGTACCACCAATTACAATTACATTTCTGTCAGTTAAGTGAATATGACGCCTGTAACTAAATAAAAAAAATTATTAAATATTAAGACACGAACTCAAGAAGTTGGTAACTTGTTTCACTTAAAACATCTAGAAAGACCCATTACAGGATCGTACAAGAACGTCCAGGGCCAGGTCATCCAAAAACTCATAAGAACACAACATAGTAAGTTAAATCAACACAATAATCCCTGGTGGACGACCGAAAATTATAAACAATTACAAAATAATCAATATCATATAATAAATAAATAAAATAAGTAATAATAATAATTATATAAAAAATATCAATAAAAAGTAATATATATATATATTAAATAATCACACAATTATTGGACTTTATTTCTTCTATCAAAATCTGATTGGACCCCGTTATTTCCAATTTCTTCATAATGACATGCCAGTTAGACATATTTGGTTCCAACAGGATGGTGCCCCGCCCCATTTACGTGTTACTCAATAAGTGTATGAATATTTAAATACGGTATTTCAGGAGAATGGATTGGTATAAGGACATCAATAGAATGGCCCCCAAGATCTTCGGATCTTACTCCACTGGATTTTTTCCTCAGAAAGAAGCACAAAACTTAGGTGATTTAAAGTTCAGGCAAATTAATGAAAACATCCTGAGTAATATTTTGGATTTTTTTTTAAACCGATTAGTATGATGTCAAGAATTTAGTGGTGGGCATTTACAAGACTTAATAAAACAATTTCTCTTTTGCTCAGAAAATGTACGACAAAGGTAATAACAATAATAATAGGACTTTTACTTTCCATGCAATTTCTTTAACAATTTCTATAGGCAATGTTGAATAAAAAAAGTTTACGATGACAAGTACAGACCAATTGTATAGAAGACGTTAAAGAAATATAATCACAATAAAAGGATTATGTAAAAAAACTTTTTACAGTATACAAAGATTTTTGCAGTAGATATTGCTTTATTTCAAAAGTTGTTAAGGGCTAACATTTTATTTCATCAGGAAGGCGATTAAAGACTTGCTGCCCCAGTATACACGGTGATCTAGAAGAAATTTTAAAAGAATGAATATCTTCATTTTTCAAATATTGGCAGGGTCAGAATACCGTATTTATTAAATAAATTTCAACAAGAATGACAGCTCGGTAGCCTAACAACACAGCGAATCGCTATTTTCTGTTCTAAAAACACGATCGATTGTGTAGACCATCCCCATGGTATTATTCCCTATCTTAGAGGAGATTATTATTGCAAATATAAATTGCAAAAATGTAAATATTGGAGTTCAACCCAGAAATCAAGAACTCGCAGAGGTTTATGTAGTTAAGATTCTCATAGGTCAGAATACCTATAAATTTAACACTCTCAGACTGAGCTACCGGACTGTCATCTATCTTCAAAATGAGACCAAAACGTATTTTTTGAGGATGGTGGAATGACGTTGCTCAGAATATTGTTGCATTTATTTTGCAATAAAAAATTGCGCCTGTCTGAAATGATCATAGATGCTGTGATACAGATTTCGAAAATATATTTTAAAAAACTTGGCATCGACATCTAATTTTTGACCCACCCATTTTGAATTAGAAATTCAATACGTATTTTTTAAATGAAATTGATACATCTTTTAACCTGTTCACTGTATAAAATCCGTCCTGTTCCGAAGAATTCAAAAAGGTCTCAATATACAGCGTGTTCAAAATGCTTGTTTGATTTTGATCGAAGCGGTAAAATGTACTGTGGAGCCAAGTGAAGGCAAAACATTTAATGGCCACCTAATTCAAATCGCGCCGTTGACCCTTTTTAAAAAAATTTTTACGGCATAAAAGTGCCGTAAAAATTTGAATTGCATGCTTACGAGTGTCACAAACAATTCGAGTGCCGTGTCCATTAGGATTCTACTCCGTGCGCGTCGCACATGTTTCGAATTTGGTGGCAGGTGCGGTGTCTGCTGTGTTCCAAGATTAATATTTGCTATGTCTTTGCCGGTACGTTCGAGTGCCAGCTTCGTTTCTACATTTTCTCCACGGAATGTCATATTTTTGTTTTATGTTATTTAATCATACAGCTATTAGATAATATCAGAGTGGCCTAAGGACGATAAATATTAATAATAATAATAATATTATTATTAATAATAATAAGTGATATTGGGATGTCGTTAGGTCTGGATAAATGCGATACAATACAAATCGTGAAGGGTAGATTTCAGCAAGGTCGAGAGGTGGAGGAAATTCAGTCTTTGGACGAAGAAGCGGTGCACAAATACCTCAGCATCTCATAGGCAACCAGGGATGTGTGGGACTGAATTTACAGGATGAGAGGAAGAGGACTCACTCACTTGGTTGAAAAAAAAACGACAAAAACCAGATAATATGAAAAAACCTGCCTAAAGAAAAGCGTGATGGACATATGCCGAAAGTGCGGTAAGCTTAAAGAAACAATTGAACATATCACGGCGGGCTGTCCAGCGCTATCTAACGCGGCATA